ATTAACTTTAGAGATGTATGTTAAAGTGTTCATATTCTTCGGCTTCTAATAGAATTAGACACTTTCTGAAAGATTTGATTTTGGCCAAGATCGGGGGAGACCTGCTAAAAAATTTTTCACTTATGTGGCTTTATAAAATTTTGAGCATATGATTACTTTGTACATTTGTATCTTGTGGACCAAAAAATTATAAAGATTTTATTGAAGTAAATTTTAAAAACTTTTACATTTGTGCATGAAACCATTGAATATTTATAAGCATAAGATATACCCATCTTGCACATTATTGTCTAGAATGAAAGTTTCCACTTTTGTTTATGTATGTAGCAAATTTCCTTGAATGCAGAAACCATACACTCCAGGTTTTGTATATTAGCATGAATGTAGTTCAGCCTCCCAACTGCCTGTACAATTGGTGTATGATAAAGTACTGGCTGTATTCTACGTGGTGAGTTAGTAACTATTGCTGTAGAATAATGACACACCATGTACAAAATCTCAAGAGATGGGACTTTTAATTGAGAGGTGATAGTTACCCCTACAAATTGAACCTAAAGCTGGGTTATTTCAGAAGACCTGCTTTACTGTATAATGCTTACAAGCTCTGGTTCTCAAATTAGATTGCAGGGTAGAATCCAGGCACTGCTGCTTCTTAGTTATGTGACATTGGCCAAGTTACTTAGCCATTTTGTATTTCTGTCTTATCAGCAAAATGGGGGTCTTTTAACCTGATAGAGTTGCTGTGATAGTTAAAGGCTTTATAATACATGAAAGCATGAGAAATTAAGACCTGGCAAATAATAAATGATCAGAGCATATTATTATACTATATGTTAATTTTTAGCAGATGGGGTTAAAGTATTATTAATTAGCACGGCATTTCTGTCATTTATAATTTGCTTGATGTGTTGTTAGGTTCAATTTTTAAAGCATACTGTGGTAAATAATAATACAATCAATGCTAATCTTTAGAGAGAAATAAGTAACATGACCAATTCTTTTGTAATTTATACATCTACCTTTGATTTTCTTTTCTTTTCATACTAAGAATGTGGTCTTCATAACATCAAAACACCTTATCCTTTCTTTGTTGTTTAGTATTATGTGGTGGTAGAGGACCTAAAATTTTTTTAACCTCCACCTCAAGATTTTATCTTAAACCCAGTGTGGTCCTTGAGAACAGGGATCCCAGGAAGCAGCAGAGGGGAAGTAACAACACCTAACCAGCCATTCAGTAACTAAATGAGCAAAAGTAATTTGGAGGTCACAGTCAGATTGCTTTTCTTCTTTGAGGGATCACTTACCTTCAGTTATGTAACTTGTCTTATTTATTTCTCATAGCAACTTTCTCATTTTTAAGTGCTAATTTACACACCTCCCCCCACTTTCTCAGATACCCAGCTCTTTTAGATAACAACCTGGGACTGATTTTAGACTGCTGTATCTTTATAATTAGTCTGCTAGTTACAATTTCCAGTTATTTTTTTAATCCGAGCTTTTCAACCCATCTGTATATCACCTCATTTCTAGTCTTGATGTTTTAAAATCTGTATATTTTTAAAATACAAATCTAACAATGCTGTAACCTTACTTAAAATTCTCCATTGGTTTTGTATTGCTTTTAAAGAACAGAATTTGAGCTCCTTGAAATGTTACGCAAGGTTTCTTACAATCTCTTGTCTTCTTTGAATGTTGTGGTATAGAGCATTGAAATGTCAGCAGATTTGAAAATACAAGATAAAATGCCATAGAAAGAAGGAATGTTTATTGACATGAACTGAGAAAAGCCCCTTTTAAGAGCAGCATTTTTCTTAGATCTCTTTTCTAAATGAGATCCAATAGTACAGTAATGATTTTTTTTCTCTGATTACTACCATGAGACTTGGTGATGTATGAGAGAGCTGTATATCATGTATGTGTTCCTGTGAGTGTGTGTATAAGTGTATACACATGTGTGACTGTTATTTAGCATATGTAATTATGATTAGCTTATCTTTATGATTATAATTGATAAGTATTGTTATTATCCCAAATTATTCCTAATTCTGTGGAAAAAATGAGCAAAGTAATGAATTAAAACCTACGTTGGATCACTTTTCGGCCTTTTGGCTAAGATCAATTGTAAAACCTACCTGGGCTTTTGCTTAATTTTCAAAAAGAAGTACTCTGGATCCTTTTTCCAAAACTAGAGAGGGATTTTCCTTTTCTGGGCAACTGAATTTAGAAAATGTTGGTTTATCATTCTGAATTCTCCTTACAGAGAAAGGGGTCTAGAGTTCATGTGGAAGGAATCTCCCATTTTATGTGTCTATGGTTTAGAAATATCTTAGATTTTTAAACCAGATTTTAGAATATGTATTCTGAAGAGTTACCCTTTCTTACCTTGCATTGTTATATTAATACTAAATATGACCAAGATATTAAAGAGGATAGCCCAAATTTTAGGTTTTTTCCTTTTAGTGACATAAAACGATCATAAAATGGTTAAATACAGATTGCTTCAATTCTGTGAACTATTACGATCAAATACTGTAGTTTTTTGTTTGTTTGTTTTGTTTTTCTCTCTTATACTCTTGTGCAAGAGAGAAATCTGATATAACACCTAGGAGCAGAACTCTGGAGACAAACTGATTTCAAATACTTCTTCTGCTACTTAACTCTGTGACCTTACCCATGTTATTTATTTAGCCTCTGTCTCCTTGTATTTTCTTCAAGTACAAAATGCGAACAGTAATGATACTTAGTGTGAATTAAATGATTATTTTATATAAAACCCTTAGTACAATATAAATGCAATACATAGTAGTATTATTACAGTACCAGTGCTTAGAATGAAATGAATACACTTGTAGATCTTGATGTAAGGTTATGTTATCTTCACGAGCATTGTTTCAGATTGTTAACTTTCAACATATTTGTCCCTGGATATTCAGATTTTATTCAGCCTTTTAACCGTTTCTTTGTGTAATAGAAGTGCTTATGTTGTTATCACTTAATAACTAAGACATTTTATTGAATGTGTTAAATAGCTTCACATTTTCTAGCTGTTAGTGCTTTTTTATAATTAAAGGCATAATTTAATTTTTGTATTCTTGCTTCATTCTTTTCATTAATTCCTTCAGCTTAAAGAGTAAAAGAGCTCTTGTTTGCCACACCTTCTGCCAAGAAAAACATTAAAACTTTTTTTATATAAGCATTGGCTAGAAAATGTAATGTTAATCTATTAAAGGACTTTAACAAAACCAGCAAAGTTGAGGAATAGGGTTTTTTAAAATATAAAAAAGCTAGCTAGCCTTTATTAAAGCAGTTATATGAGATCACATATTCACTTATTTGATTTCCTATATATGGTAAGAAAGGAAAACTAATACTTTATTAAGAGTGGTGTTCCATGGAGTGGAAGAAGCATTCTGACTTTGTTAAGATAGGGTATATTGTATGTTTTATCAATTTGTATGATCTTAGTTTTTAAAATGTATAAACCAGTAGCCTTGTGGAGATTTTTTTTAGTGGCAAATTTTAACACTCAATGTGGGCAGGGAAGATAGGGCTGTATGATTCATGAAAGTTGATGTGCTTTGTATTTTAGGACTAAACATAACTATTTATTTGGTATTATTAATTTATATTGATAGTTCTCATGTGGTTTGTAGTTACCTCCACAGGACCCTATGTGATTCTCTTGTTTGAAAGCTTAATTTAAAAACAAAAACAAAAACCTTTATTTTTTGGGGGGTAACGGCTAAGAGAATTAACTCATTTTACATTTTAAAACCAAACTAAAGTTCATAATGGCTATTAAATACCTAATTATGTAAAAACATTATAGTAAAACTTTTAGAACTAATATTCTCTAGCTTTCCTGTCAGAAATGTTATTTTTAAAGACAAATCTCAAGGGAAGGTAATTAACCTTTTAAATTTTGTTTTTGATATCTAGTAATTGTACTTATTTATGTGATACAGTATGATGGTTCAGTATAT